TGGAATGTTATGTAGTTTACACAGGTCAAAGGAATTCAGGAAATAATCCAATTAATAATAGGAGACAAAAAATAATTTTTACTCAAATGTTGTGTGGATTTCTGGGGGCTGGGTTCATTATTTAAATCTTACCTCCTAAGCTTCCTAACTTTGTACCATGTTTCTCCAAGGTCTGCCTTCATTGCAGGTATGTCACCCCTGGGGATGGTTATTTTAAATTCTTTTCCCAAGGCTTTCTTCAGCAGTGCTTCTCTCTCCAGTCTACCCATTGCTTTCAATTCATCCACCAACTGGGTCCCTGAAGCACCACCACTTACAGCTGTTCTGGTCTCTGCTACTGCCTTTGACCTTTGTCTAACAGTTTTTTTGTCACCTCATTAGTTGTTTTCCTGGCCCTGGTTCTTTTAACCAATTCCAGTGGCTGAAAATTCATATAATAATCATGTTGTTCATGCCATGTTTTGAAATGTAGTATCATTAAGAAAACAAAAATGAACATATATCATTCGATATGTAAAATATCTCTACCTGGCCACCTGTTTTTAGGAGAATGGTTGTCCCATCCTGAGACTGTGAGAGGAACTGACGAATGATAAACTATCCAACTTCTTTTTTAAGGGATGTGTATACTTCCTGTGGGCTATGTAGTAGTTGTTGTACTGTCAGTTGCTCTGCATAGGTAGTAGCAGGACCAGGTTCTGTAAGTTGTGCTGGTGCAGGTACATGTTCAGCTACTGCAGATGCTGCTGCAAGTGCTGGTGGGGGTGTCACTGGGGGAGGAGGTGGTGGTGTAACTGAAACTGCTCCTTGCACAGGGGTTTCATTTTGTGTGGGTGTTGTCACAGGGTTTGGTATGCAACTTTCTTGATGCTGTGGCAGCTGGTGTAGTTTTATAGTGTGTGTACATGTAGGGCATTGAAAATCTAGTTCTGATAGTATAGTTCGTAGAACAAAAGGAGCTGGTTCAATGAACTCCAGAGGATTTTCAATTGCAGTTCTGCAAACTGGGCAGAGGGATCCACATGTCTCAAAGGCAAATGAAAGGCAGCTGGCCCAAAATATGTGGGGGATTTGGCATTTTGTTTGGACGGGTTGGTCAAGGACTTCTTTGCATATTGGACACATGTACTCATGCTTAATGTTCTCAACAAACTGTTCTGGGTAAAGGAGTTCCGTTCCTCAATAGCTTTTCAGATTTTTTACCTCCTCAGCGAAAGAGAGCGTGTTCGGTTCTGGTTGAAAGCTTAATGTGCCAGACATTCCTTCAACCATTTCAATCTGTTCCTTTGATCCAGGGTCATGTTTAGGCTTCACTCCAGGCTTCCAGGCTTTTGTTGGTCCTTGTTTCCTTGTAGGAACTGCATATAACACAATTGCCAGATCGCTTGTGTGGAGGCCAAGCATTTATTGCAAAACGTGTGCCTCCTCTTGAAGCAAGCTTGTAGCTCTTGTGGCAGAATTTAGGAGGGCATTTGTCGAGGTCGTCTCCTCGAATCTTTACACCAAAGGCCGTGAAAATAATCTCTCTCTTATCTGCACAAAGAAAACTGTCCTCGTACTTATCTTTGGCCTTCTTCAACCGCTCCCCACAAATTCGGCAAAGCTTCTCCAATATTCGTTGATGTTCAGAAAGACCAAAGTTTGCCATTTGATTGAACTTAACTGACCTCAATTTACTCGAATTCTAAAAGCTATCTATCGATACAGTGAATAAAATTGACAAAAGGTATGTTTCGAACATCGCTTTATTCATTCACAGGCCGTTTTAAGTTTCATTCAGGAAAAGGTGTGTGTTTATCCAATAGATTACTAAAACATGGAACGACCTAAAACCACCTAAAACCATTACAACCACCTCAAAAAATTCAACAACCACCTACAACCATCTACAACCACCTCAAAACATCTACAACTACTCGCAAACAATCCAAAACCATCTAAAACAAGGTATAAATGTCTGAAATAAGGTGAGACGACAACATGTCACGAACATGAAATGCGAGAATCGAACAAAACATCCACTTCCCCCTAAAATCTTACCCTCCCTGGTCCCTTGTATCATCAACCATTGGCTTAAGTCACGAAATGAAGGGGTGGCGAATGGTACCTCGAAAAACGTGGGTCTCGGAAAATTTTGGCAGGATCTCGAAATCTCGGAAGCGTTTTTGGTAAGTCTCGAAGTCTCGTTTTTTCATGGTTTGCTTCTACTCTTTTTGAGTCTCGAAACTTTTCACCAAAGAGTCTCGGGCTCGGATTTCTAACTAGGATCTCGGCGTCTCGGCGAGTCTCGGATTTTACCATTCGCCACCCCTAAATGAAATGCGAGATCTTGCTAAGTATATTAAAAGACTTAAAGAACTTTACAAAATGAACTATCAAGTCACAAAAAATAATAAAATAAAATAACAAACTCGTAGTCGAAAGACTGACTTGATTTGGTTTTTTCTACCCTGGGTATGGCGCGCCGTTTGTTTCAAAATTATTTGTAAACGTATTGTTTGATGTGGTTGTGACATATCCATTAAAATGTTCCTGTGATAGCATCAACCAACCATTGTTATTTTTCACCTTGATATCATTTTACGGTTCGTGATGTAACATTTTCTGCCTTGATATCGTTTTACTACCGTGATGAAACATTTTCTACCTTGATATCATTTTACTGCCGTGATGTGACATTCTCTACCTTGACATTACTTTACTGCCGTGATGCGATATTTTCCTCTTGATATCTTTTTACTGCCGTGATGCAACATTTTCTACCTTGATATCTTTTTACTGCCGTGATGGAACATTTTCTACCTTGATATCTTTTTACTGCCGTGATGCAACATTTTCTACCTTGATATCTTTTTACTGCCGTGATGTGACATTCTCTACCTTGACATCATTTTACTGCCGTGATCGAACATTTTCTATCTTGATATCATTTTACTACCGTGATGAAACATTTTCTACCTTGATATCTTTTTACTGCCGTGATGTGACATTCTCTACCTTGACATCATTTTACTGCCGTGATGCGATATTTTCCACCTTGACATCTTATTATTGCCGTGATCAAACATTTTCTTCCTTGATATCTTTTTTTTCTGCCGTGATGCAACATTTTCTACCTTGATATCATTTTACTGCCGTGATGCAACATTTTCTACCTTGATATCATTTTACTGCCGTGATGCGACATTTTCTACCTTGATATCATTTTGCTGCCGTGATGCGACATTTTCTACCTTGATATCATTTTACTGCCGTGATGCAACATTTCCTACCTTGATATCATTTTACTGCCGCGATGCAACATTTTCTACCTTGATATCATTTTACTGCCGTGATGCGACATTTTCTACCTTGATATCATTTTACTGCCGTGATGCGACATTTTCTACCTTAATATCATTTTACTGCCGTGATGCGACATTTTCTACCTTGATATCATTTTACTGCCGTGATGCAACATGACATTTTCTACCTTGATATCATTTTACTGCCGTGATGCGATATTTTCTACCTTGATACCTTTTTACTGCCGTGATGTGACATTCTCTACCTTGACATCATTTTACTGCCGTGATACGATATTTTCTACCTTGATATCATTTTACTGCCGTGTTGCAACAACATTTTCTACCTTGATATCATTTTAATGCCGTGATGTGACATTTTCTACCTTGATATCTCTGTATTGCGTGATGGAACATTCTTTACCTTAATTGATTTTACTACCGTGATTTGACATTTTCTACCTGGATATCATTTAACTGCCGCGTGATGTTTCATTTTCGACCTTGATATCTTTGTTCTTCCGCAATGGAACATTTTGCTGCCTTGATATAACTTTACTGCCGTGATCAATCATTCTCTACATTGATATCATTTTACTGCCGTGATGTAACATTTTCTACTTTGATATGATTTTACTACCGTTATGGAACATTTTTGTAATTTTGTTATGTAACATTCTGTACCTCTAACATTTTCTAAGTTGAAGTAAATTAGTTTATACGTGGTGGTCATTTTTGTTATTATACTTTTTACACTAGTGAGCAGCTGTAAGCAACGTGAGTGTATCTGATTTAATCCGGAAATGTGCAATCTTTAATCTAGGGATTTACCGTAAATGATCTAATAAACGCCGGGGGCGTTTATCTAATTTCAAGGGTCCAAGAGAGGGGGGGGGGGGGGGGGGTGTTTCAAAGATAAGAGGCGTTTAAAAGGCGTTTTCTCTAATAACTGTAACATGGTAACCTAAATACGGTATTATAATAATCTAAATGACAGAGCTTTAGCAGACTATCAAGTCCGTCCGCTAATAATTCTAAACCGTCTACAAATCCATAACCGTATCAGTGGTACTCAAAGTGGCGTAAAAGGGTACCGTACTGGCAGTTGTTTTTGAGCAAGACGCAACTCGCACACCGGTGTTAAGTAAGCAAGAACGCAAATAAATTGATTGATTGTATTGTACATCTGTTTCCAGTTTATGTATGGTTTTCAGGGGGCGTTTGTTAGAGAGGGGCGTTTAATACAAACTTGTCAGCTTAAGGGGGCGTTAATAAGGGGCCGACCATTTAACTCTTGACGGGGGGGGGGGTGATTTTTGGTCGGCAAGAATTTTTTTTTCTAGCAATCTGGTGGGCAGGATATTTTTTTCCCTTCTAAATGCTCTGCAGGATATTTTTTTCCCTCCTCATTTCTCTGCAGGATTTTTTTTCCTCAAAAAAGGGTCATGTGTTTACATATACAAAATGTATTTACACTTACATTCTGGTCATTGCAGTAATAGTTCTAATATGGAGCTGCAAAGCCTTAAAATGTTGTAAGCTATACAAAATCATTATTGTATAGCTATCTTTTCAGAAAGTCATTCTTTACACTCATTTTATTACGTCAAAATAAAGTGATGCACCACAGGCAGATGTAAAAGTGTTTAGTTTCTTAATTAAAAAAAAAATAGCCAAAAATAGCAAAAAGCAGTTTAGAAATGCTCATAGCATGGTAATTGCTGCTAGAATCATTAGTTGCAATTTAAAAGTAGACTGAAATATCCAAAACCAATGTGAAAGCAAAATTGAAGTTAGTTGATCATGGTCTAATTGAAAAATAGCTCTAATAATTTTTGCTCAGCCTTTTTTCAGTCCACTTCTATACAGTTGCAGCATTCAGCCATGTTCATTGCTGCTGTTAATTTTTATCTTGCAGCGCAATTTTTATTCATGAAATATACAGCTACTTTTTATGCACCTATCAATGTCTTGCCCAAACAGAGGGAGTGCGGAAGTAGGTGGGGCATTTGACCTGTGAACTTTGTCCAAGGGAGGGGATGTTTTGAATAAGAATTAAGGTTTGAAATGGCAGAGGGTGTGGAATTTGAAATTTATTGACCAAAAATATTTGAGATTAATTGTCAATAGCCCCTGGGTAAACCTGCACTCCCCCAATTGGGGCTAGACATCGATAGGTACATTACTAAAACTTAAAAAAATATATCATATTTATTTAAATAGAAAATAATTACATAAAAATGTTTCTGTTAAAAATGAAAAAAAAAACTTCCTTTGTCTATTAAAACTTGATTCTTCAATAAAAAAAATTACCTCCATTTATAATACTGCTTGTGATAAGCTAATAATGCATTGCACATATGACGCAATAATTTTGCAGCATCATCAAATCCAGAGTTCAAAGTGAGCAAGGGAAAAGAATGGTTGCAGTTTTGCTGCGATTTTTTAAAGACCCCCGGAATGATGAAATAGCTTTGCAACATTTTTTTTTTCTTTCTTACAGCAGCGCAAGAATTTTTTTTCTATTACATTTGTGCTGCATGCAATTTTTTTCTTCCGACAAGCGCTTGCAGGAAATTTTTTTTCAAAATCACCCACCCCCTCAAGAGTTAAATGGTCGGCCCCTAAGATAGGAGGCGTTCATTAGAGAGGGGGCGTTTATTAGATCATTTGTAAGGCCTTTCCTGTTTCTCATGTCGGGAATGAAAAAATTACCCCACCCCCGGATCGTGTCTTATCTAAGAAAGTTCTCTGAAAGAGCAATACGGCAAAGTAGGTCACTAAACAAACACCACCAATTGCATTTACTTTCTTTATTAGCCTGCGTAGCATGGCGGTTTTGGTTGGGCCCGCTAAGTAATAAAGGCGGGCGAGGGCAGAGAAACCGCGAGGAGATTGGAGCGGAAGCAACTTGCAACTTGGTTTTTATTTTTCTCGCGGCTTCGCCGCTCCTGCGCCCGGCTCGACAAAACCACCATGCTACGCGGGCAGCCTCGTACCCAGGCCTGTTCGCGCTATCCGAGTGACCAGAAGAGGCTTGGAACCGAGCGCGATAGGCGACCTAGCCAACCTAGCCTAGGCGAATTTTCCCGACAAGCTTGACAGGTGACGTCACATCCGAAATCGCCGAGGACGACTGGGAACGAGGCTGCTACGCAGGCTATCTCGTATTAAATTCTCATAACCAGGGGAAATTAGATCCAGCCGCTCTTAGCTTAGTCGAGGGTCGTACAGGGGGGGTCTTTCGCACGGTTCACGAACAGAAAAAACAGCGAATCACGGATCACGGCTATCAAAATTTCATTTTCCCGAATCACGAAAATAAACAAGTAAGGTACTCGTTTTAATAACCTTCTCTTACGGTAGAAAGAGTGTTTGACGAAAGCAAAATCGTTAAAGGCTAAGTGAAGGCTGCTTATCGGAAATCACATACCTAAATCACTCTCGATGGACGACTCTGACCATTCAGGGGCACCCAACGGCAATTTTCGGAAAATATCTGTTCGGAAGAGGATTTGAGATCTAGAATTTTCGGAACATTTATTGTAAAATTTCTTGCTTGCCTGGCTCTCCTAGGATTTTCGAACATCTACAAAATGGTATAATTACCCATTTTTAACGGATTTTTACCCTAAAAAAGGCCACCTAGAATTTCGGGAGCCTTTTCCTGGCTGAAATTTTCGAAAAGGTAAGTTTTGATCCCTATAATTTTCGGATCACTAGACTTTTAGCTAGGAAATCCGAACAGATGAAAAGTTTTTAGGGGATAAAAATATGCCTATATCTACCGTTTAAATACTAAAATACGTTCAACAATGCTTTGTTAAGTGGTTTTGAACTATATCCTCGTTGGGTGCCCCTGACCATTCGTCCACTTCGCGTTGTAACTGCCCGAAGAAACAACAAATCGTCTAAAGAATCTACCTCGTAATTGTCAGCAATAGGATATTCAGCGTCTGAGTCAGTGTCATACTCTTAATCCTCTTCTACCTCGGCTTCCTCTACTACTTGAACATCTTCAATGGCCTCGTGCTATGTAGAAGGCGTTACTAACAGTGGTAACGGTCGTAGCAGAAGTAACAGTCTCCTCTTCGACAGTGTTAGGGCTGAATGAGACTTTATCTTTAGGATAGTCTGATGAGTCTGTTCCTTTCCAAGAAAATTAAGCGAGCCGACAGACTTTGGGTCAACGTAAAATACAATACATTCGACCCTCATCGTACTATACGTACTTGTCCCCTCCATGTCTCGGATGTTTCGATGTTTTGGATCACTATCCTTTGACCTCCAGTGACATAGGAGACCATAGGCATAGGAATAGACATCTGATCCATGATAGGCATGTAAAGCACGTGAATTTGCACAATGGATTACTTTAATTAAAGCGAAGTCTGTTACTTGTCACATTTGATGTTTTCAGTCTTAAAATAAGTCTTCCGGAGCACTCGCATCTCAAAATCACGCCAAATAGAGTAGTGAAATCACGAATAACGGGTTAATAATTCAAGTTCTTCACGGGTCACGCAAAACCTTCAGATCACTGATCACGAAGAATAATTTATTAAATTCACGTTTCACGGAAAATAAAATCAGCCAATCCCGCATCACGGGAATACCCCTGTACGACCCTCTTAGTCGCACGTGACTTCGGTCAGCTTCGATCAGAAACCGTGGGTATTTGCCATTTGAAGGCGGTTTGCGCAAATAGTCAAAGGAAAGCAACTCATTGCAGTAAGAGTTTCTAGCTAGGTATTTTACAGACATAACGATCAACGAAAATTGAAAAATAGTGATGGCGTATTGGAAAGAGATCCTGTTGGTTTACTTTATAGCTTTCCACAGAATTTCAGCGGAAGGCAAGCGGAAAGAAGGTAATATACGTATGTAAAACTCTAATGATCTGTCTTTTTTCGCTTTCGTTGTAACTTACATAATTTATGAATCGAAAGGGAAAAGGAGAGACAGGGATAACTTTATCGAAAGATCCCATTAAGTTGGAAAGAGCTGCAAAGCTCGGACATGCACTTCCATTGACAACTCTGCCATCAAATTGTTGAAAATGACATTTGGAGACGGTCAGTTTTGGTCGTAGAAATCAGCAATGCGGTCCTGCAAGCAGCTTATTCGGACGCCTTCGTGCTCACTGTTCTCAGTTTATAAGTGAACTATTTTATTTTGGCAACACAACGCGAGGGAAAAGATACACATACAGTGCACATGAATACACAAACTGCGGCGAATCAAGACCTCCCTGGGGGTTGTTTTGTGGAATTTAAAACTTCTAAGCCGCGGCGTAGGTCAAGATTTTCAATGGCATGATCCCAAATACACACGTAATCAACCACGAACTGAAGCAAACAGAACAGGCCATTTCTAGTTGTTCTGTCACAAATATCACTCATTAAAAAAGGGCCAAAGCAGTCTAAAGTAGTCCCTCATAGCGATCGCGTGAGTGAAAATAGTCACCCCCGAGGAAGGAAGCTAGCCCTAAGGAAATGTTGGACTACTCCCCGGGGACTATTCATAGACCTTTTTCGACCTTTACGTCGACGCCATCCTGACGAGTAGGCAACCGCGTGAGAAATTACAGTGTTTGTATTAGAATCTAATGTCGAATAATTTCCGTAAAACGGCTGTTCTGAAAAAAAAAAGAAAAGAAAAACATATGAATTGTAAACTAAAGCTTTGCAGCTACAAGCGCTAGGGCTACTTTTAAAATTTCGGCTATACATTTGTCTCTAAAAATTTGCCGACTAGAATTTCCGGGAAAAATTGCAGACAAATATATGGAAAATCTAAAGCAAACATCTGGAGAAAATTAAACACAGTAACTGCCCCCAAAATTTGTTAGTAAAATCCTTTACTGTGTAGCTTGAGTTTACAATTCACATTTTTTTCAGAACAGCCGTTTTACGGAAATTGTTCGACATTAGATTCTCATACAAACTCTGTAACTTCTCACGCGTTTGCCTATACTATTCGTTAAGATCGCATCGAAAACCGTGACAAGGTCTGTTATGTAAAAGCGGAGTGTACTAGTGTTACCATGGGAGCTATAATCGTGGACGGAGACCAAGAAATTCCTGTTATCAAATACCATTTTCAGTAAAAGGACTGGCTCCATCTCAACCGCCAGGGACGGGTAGGAGAGGACTCTGGGAACGTGGTTGGCTCCATATCGAGAGAGAAATTGTCAGATGTCAGGCGCGGATCCACACCGGTTTCCACCGTTTTACGAAAATCGGTCAGAGTTTTCACAGATAAATAAATTTTCATGAAAAAAAACTTTCCAAGTTAAAATCCGGCTACTATCCTGACGCTCGTTTTGGAAAACGGTCAGTATTTATCCTAGATCCGCGCCTGGATGTGTACCCCGGGTGTCAGAAGTTTTTTCTCGCGCGGGTCATTTTTTAAAGACATTCTCGACCCCAGAGCTCTTCTGCGCATGACGGCCTAGGAGGAAAGAGCTCCGGGGAACCCTGGAACAAGATTGTCTCTGATTGGTTTCAGCAAAAAACAATAAAAGTGTTTCTGATTGGTCCATTCAAGTTCCTACGAGAGCGGTTGAACGTTCGGCGTGTCTGCATGTGAGTGGGTTTTTCCCTAGAAATGTTGATTAAAGTAAACACGCCCGGACAATTCTTGATTTCAGCGATTCCAAATCAACATTTAGGCGACTAATTTGGCAGAATACTGGATTCCCCAATTTTCAAATAAAATACATATCAAAAATTGACCAAGAAAAAGATTTGAATGTGAAAAATAAGATTTAAATACACCGACAACTTTGCCAGCTAACCTTTAAGAAGCATGACGCAACTGATTTTTCTTCGACTTCCACGTTACAGCTCCGGACGTTATCGTATTCACACGAAGTAGCCGTCGGAAATTGTCCCGGCAGATTAAGAATTCCGATTCTCTTACCAGTTTTCCTTTGGAACTCGAGACAGTGGAGGAATGTGAAAGTGATTCCAGCGATGATAATGGAAGTATTTTTGCCGACAAATCCATTGCCGAAGAGTCTCGGAGATGTCGAGGAACCTCCACTAGATTTCAACAAAACGTCACGGCCTAAAATAGCCAACAAAGCAGTCGATGAAAACGATATTGCCCTCTTTCTCTCGAACTGAAAAAGGCGACAATTTTATTTGCATTTCTCTTCGATGTTTCTAGGGTACATTGTGTGCAAATTTTTTAAGTATCACCATGTTGAATCTTTTTGCTAATTTTAGCGATATCAGAGTATTAATGTTGGAAATGCTTGGCGCCTAAAGTGGTGAAACGCGACGTTTTCGAGTTACAGTCTTTAACATATGATGTAAATCGCTGACAACAGCTACAGTAAATCATTTGTAAATATTTTGTAACTTAAAGTTCCAATGTACCTCTTACCTTAGTACCGGAATTTAACGCTCCATGCTTGAAATTAGGGTTTTCGAAATAAGCTGGTATTTTTTTGATCGCGAATGAACGAATGAAGGTAGTAACGCCATTGCTTATTTTCAAATCGAGAGGGGCTGGGTATGAGTCGGTTTATTATGGGATAAACAACACGAGACCCAAATAGTCAGAAAGAGCGTATTGAAATTAGCAACATTCTCAAGTTTGGTGTTTATCGGGCCTATATTGAACGAGATACAGCCATTCAAAAACTACGCCTCTTATAAATTTTCAAGTTTATAATTAGCTGTATCTTGTTCAATACTGGCCCGATCGACACCAAACTTCAGATTTTTCATAACCCTAATGTGCTCTTTCTGACTATGTGGGTCTCTTGTTCTTTACCCCATATTAAACCGACGTGTACCCAGCCCCTCTCGATTTGAAATTAGGCAATGGGTAACCGTTCAAAATAGATTACCAGGGCGAGCCTATGGCCAAGCTTGGAACTTGTTAAGTCTCCTCAGTCACACACACGTACTTACGAGAGGAAAATGCCTTCATATATCTTTCCACTTGCCTTACAGTCCATAGTATGTTTCATTTGGTAATGCTACTCGTAGTTGTTGCCTTCGTATAAGTTAGTTCCGAATTTTAAAAAATGTACCCACCCGCCAACCCCTGGGGCAGTAGTCTGCTGTACAGCCGTTTTTAGTGTCGTCACGCAACGCTCCTTAGTGGGAGGAGCGTTGCGTGATGACACTAAAAACGGCTGTATAGCAGACTACTGGGGCAAGAACACGCTACGAATTGGCTGAATAATATGCACTTCATGTATTTTTATCTTTCAGTAAGTGCAAAAAAGTTGTACTGCTTCAAGTGTAAGTCGGAAAGTTCTTGGGATGACTGTGACAAGTCAAGCGTGCAAGTAGCTTGTCCAAACGATCACCTCTGCCTTAAATTAACAGCGCACATGTGGGACACGACGAATGGAACAAAGGCAGGTCGTGTTCGTCCTCTTTATGCAAGGTATTGCTCCCTACCAGAGGGTTGCTCTACAGAACAATGCGAAGAAATAAGCTGGAATTGCCAGATAGTCTGCTGCAACCAACACATGTGTAATGCAAGCAATTCCATTTGGTTAACCAAGATACTCTTTGTTGCTGTCCAGGGCTTAGCGATTCTAAAGATGTTAACTATATATTGAATAGGAAACTCGTAAAGTATTCATTTACGGGGGGAGGGGGGTGGTGGTAAACAGTGGTGGATCAAGGGCTCAGGGCCCCACCTTATTTTGAGACCAAACTGAGACCCGCAAAGGGCCAAGAAAAATGGATTTGAAACCGGCCCCCGTCTTATCTCAGAAAGGCGGGGAAAGGGTGCGCTTACTTAAACATCAGAATCCGCCACTGGTAAAAGGTAAACCATCATCCATACTTTGATATATAAACATTTTATTATGTATAATGTCATCTTACTATTTACAGTTTCTGTTTGTAATCAAACAACCGTAAAAAAGTGTTGATAATGGCGGTAAATTGAGGAAGGGTTTTATAGTTTCGTCCTTGTGTCAGGAGAAATTTTTAAAATTTCGCAATACTTTAGTTTTGCTAACGTAAATTCCACAAAAATAAGTATGTAACCATGATAGAGGGAGAGTGTATCGTTAAGTAAGTAGTTTGTGTTCTGGTATTGGATACTCTTTTATATGGTTGTCATGTTTTCGGCTAAAGGAAAAAGTCGAATTTTTGCTTCCAAATGAGTTGACTAAATTGTAACTTAAAGCGTTTTATCTCATAACTAGAGCAACCGAGTGGCACTAAGGTAAAGAGACTGTAGGTTATATATGGTTAAGGGGGCATGACAGGTGTTTAAAGAGTGTCACGTTACCTTGACTCTCTATAAGCCGAACACCTCCATGGGACGGACAGTCGGGGCAGTTCCCGAGGGTGTTCGTCTGAGGGAGAGAGTTGACTGCAGGTACTTTAACCCTTTAAGAGAGTGATCAGCATTAAATTTCTCCTTGTAATCTCAATGCTTTGTAAAAAAGAGTGGTTATGAGAATTACGGACATGATCACACAAGATGAATTTGCTTGATATTTTATCAATTTCTCCCTACTATTTCTGTAGGAAATGAATATGGGCAACAAATGAGAAGTCAACTTTTGATCTTAGGGTTTAAAGGGTTAATGAACAGGCACTTGAAGACGCTTTGAGAAAAAGCGAGAATTCTTTAGGAGGGGGGCTTTGCGCTAGTTCATCCTGGTTTAGTTATAATAAAACATGCCTAATAAGGATTCTAAAAATTACTTGATTTAAGGCAGAGTCCGTTTATAAATCCCGATATCATTATATCTGGATTTTGACTCTTTCGGAGAAAACGAGACTTAATTTTTCCATGAACGGTATCGCTTAGCAACGCGCAAAGAATAGTACCTGCCAAAATTTAAAGCAAACATTGTATGCGTAAGATAGGTACAAGATTAAACATATTGTAGCTTGATATTGTATCTGTCTTGGAAACGTTCGCCAACTCTCAAGAAGCTGTTCATTATCAGGAACACTGAGTTATAAAGGGACTTAGGATGCACTCAGTAGTACTTCACTAACTTCACCATAAATGAGGAAAGAATGATTCCTAGCAGCTATGAGGAAAGAAAAAAAACGTGAGTACAACGGAAACGCTCCTCAAATGACCATTGGTGACAACAAATAGGCCTTCAATTTGTCCAGGAATTGTTGAGCGAGCGAAATGTGTGAGCGCGCGTGAAGATCACCACGCGCGAAGAGAACAGGGGCGCAGAGTAACGAGTCAGAGATTTCTCTCTTCCCTGGGCGTGTCACTTTCCATCCTGCTGGCGATTTTCACGCGCGCTCTCGTATTTCGAGTTACTATCCCTGAGGGAGAAAAATAAACGGGGGTTAAACGTAGTCTACTGCGTCCGACCATGTTTAGATCGTAAAGACATTGCGGATTCTAGGAAGGGAACGACTACGAGAACAATGATTATTATCTCAATATTTATTAGTGTGCGTACGTAACCGAGCTTTATTTTGGCGGGAAAACGTGATATCCGTCGTTATTCTACTACGGGGTTTGGCAAAAATGTCATGGTAACGGAACAAGTTATAAAATGCCAGAAGTTATCATTTTCTGATCGGGAGAGGGCTTAACCTCCTTCAACAAAATTGCTGGGTAAACTATTTTAATGAAGTAATAAGTAAAAAATATGAAGCTTTCCTGGGTGTCTATTTTTGTGTTATAAGTGAAAAAAAAGAACTTAATTAACTCAAATCCTCTTAAAAGATTACTACTATCTATGGCCTTACAGGGAAGTAGTGTGGCGAACTTCAAAGCGAAGCATAAATTAGATGTCAGTTCCCAGTCAAGAAAACACTCTCGAAAAGAAACGCCTGGAACAGCCAAAGTGGTGCGCCGGAAACAAAACAGTTATATAAAAAACGCGATTAGGGCTGCGCCCTTCAGACGCAATAATTATTTATCCACAGCCATATTGTCATGCGTTGATCTGAAAGCTTTTCGATGAAGTTTTCAGTTTTTTACTTACTTGAAAAGCGCTTAGAAGTATTGCTATCAATCCCAAAATAAACACATTTCTGCGGAAATACTCGCTTAGCTGTGAAATGCATCCCTGCAGAACAAAATATGAATGCATTATTAAGTAATGATAGAAATGTGATGGTGAATTTTCAGCCAGGTGAATAATAAAAGTTTAATCAGTCAGTGACACAGGCGGCTCGGAGGAAAAAATCCGAGAACTCCCGACAGAGCCGAACCGATGACCTTCTGGTTACTATTATTAGGTAATAAAGAAAGCCCGTTATTATATGTTATCTAGGACAAAGAAAAAACGTTTTTGGGAAACTGCCCACCTGCCCCTCCCCAAGCCAACATTTGCTTTAAGTGTTAAGTAAGTTTTAATGTTAACTTAAGGGAGGGATAGGTGGTCATTTTCACAGAAACCAGGGTTGCGTTCGATTGGGAAATCCGGATTTCGGATTTTGCAATCGAATGCTTCAGGGTGGATTTCAACCAAGAAATCCAAATCCGGATTTCGTGGATTTCTTTTTTTACCGTTCGACTGGGAAATCCGCAAAAGGATTTGCAAAACTATTCTTGTGAACAGCGGTCTTCTTTTTGCTAATTATGCGTGCGCGTGTAAGACCGCTGTTCTTTAGGACAGTTTTTCAAATCCTTTTTCGGATTTCCTTAATCGAACGGTTAAAAGGAAATCCAAAAGCATATACCTCAGCGATGAAATCCGTTTTCGGATTTTACGTTTTGGTTTTTAACGTCTTGGTCACGTTAGACGACAAAATAGAAGAGATCTCTTGAAAAGGACTACAAAGAGATAGCTAAAACCGTTTACTTTAATTAGTGAAAAAATCTTTAGTTTAGCTAAAACCGTTTACTTTAATTATGATGAAGAATCATCATTTTGTTTCAAATTTGTCCCGTAAAAATGTTAACCATTCAATACAGAAGGACTAGAATGATGATGAAATATGAAAATGATGAATCATCATCATCATTTCAAATCGAGATATTGGGAAAACGGTTTATCATTTATTATTTCAAATAGCTGTGTTGGTGTCCCTTTCAGGAACAAAATATGGCCGCCGGATACTAACAGAAACATCTGTTTTCGAGTTTTCCTAACCTTTCTTCGCGGTAAAAAGTTGGATGGGTCTTCTGATCAAGGAATCTTTAGATTGCCTCCCCAAAATCGCTGGTGTTTTCGTCTTTCCCGCAGCAAATGCCGAGTTTCAAGAAAACAGAACCCTTTGGAACCAAAAATTTGTTTATGTACATTTTAGATACTGGCATCTGTTTCAGAAGAATCGATAGTTTCCTAGTTTGATTTTTGGTGACGTCACTTGCAACCCAAGAATAGCTCTATTGTAACGACAAAGCCTAACCTTGCGGTAAATGTTGGATGGGTGATCTCTCCTCCCACATGCTGGTGTTATCGTCTTGCAGCACGAGTTAGGAACAGACAAATTCTCATTTTCTGGCATCTGTTTCCACGAAGTGGTGTTCCAAGATGCATATGAAAAACCACCGCAGCATTTCAGCTACAAGAAGAACATTAACAGGACACAACATGCTATAAGAGAAAATTGCTCCCATATGAACAAGGCATGTATGAGAATACGAATGGACTTCAAGCGAACCGAAAATTAACGGAGGACAAAGGGGAGGCTAGAATTTTACATTCCTCAGCCCTTGGTCGTCTAAGGGGTGGGGTTGAAGCAATACCCAAGATTGCTTTTTCAATTGATTTTTTTTTTGTGAAAGGTTTAAACCGAGGAGTCATTTCATAATTACCGGTAGGTTGCGTATGATGGTCCAGATGAACGTAGTCGTGAATAAGACTGTTGTTGTTGACAGTGAGTACGTTTTCTACTGCACAGGTTGTCGAAACGTCAGTCACTGTCAACAACAACAGTCCTATTCAGGACTACGTTCACCAGGACTCGGACGATCATACTCAACCTACTTATGATTTGTTTTAACGATTTCGAGTCAGAACCTTTCTTCTGACGACCTTCGGTTGCTATGGACATGGAAATGATACCCCCTTTATACTGTCTTGATAACATGAATTTGACCCACCTTTCGAAAACATGTGTTTTTTTTTTCAAACACTTTTTCGTACGCAAAACAGCACTTAAGCATTAATTTTCTCTTAATAGCATATTTTAGACCTTCCCTTTAGGCACAAAAATGCTTCGGTTCCAAGCTATTAGAGAGGGCTTATCTGGCAGCAAGATTAGTGGCTATTTCGAATTACGCCATTGTTCCCATTATGTAAAGCTCAACACAGTATGTCTTCAAGAAATTTTGTCTCGCCATAACATTAAACCACAGAGAAAACCCCTTTCCTCCCCCCTCGTACCATGGAGAGACGTTCACTAGGTCACTCACCCGATCCATCCTAAGTTAACACCTCGCAGGTCATGATTTTCTGGACTTACATTTTGGTGTAAACTGTCAAAGGATTTGGTGACGTCATCTGATGAACCATATTCATTCATTCTGGTCAATGCCGTTTTATCCAGTTCTTCCTCAATCTAGTTTTGAAAAGAATACAATTGAAGAGAACGGAATATAACATTTTGTTTACTTATTGGGCAAACCGAGTAATTCGGCCTGTCGGCTTCCAGATAATTCCAGCCTTTTGATTATTCTTACACATAAAACGCCTCCTCCTTGGCCGTGCCCACACTATTACGTTTTCCATCGGAAACGTTCCTATTTGGTGTCATGAACAAAACAAATTAAACGGTCTTCGTATCTCAGAGTAAAACTGGCGACCATAACAGCGGACAATAGGGAGGTTGTTTCTGGCGCGGAGAGACATAGTGTGGATGAGTTTGAAACAAAACAAAATTAAATTAAACCAAGGATAAAATTGAACCACGATATCTGCAATAATAGCCTGCGAAAACAGCCGTTTCCACTCGCTTTTGGCCGCTGGGGACGTTTCGCGAGGAGGAAAGTCTGCGACCCAGCGACAGACATTCCATACTGATGACGTAAAATCTGTCCGGAATCCGGTCATAAGCGCTGATTGGACGACGGAGTAGTTACATTGTTTTAGTTATTGTTTTTTGCGAATGACCGACAAAAGACAAAAGGCCACAAAGGTCAAATGTAAACGCGGGGAATCCATAACAAAAAAGTCAATATTTGTGGAAAATATTCGTCTGTAGAAGAGGCATTTGAGTTTTGCTGGAGCTCGTTCACAGATGAACACAATTTTTTACCAAAATCGTAAAATTGAACAAATTTGCCTTTGGAACCCCATGATTCCCAGGATTTATTATGTAAACATTGATTTACGTCATCAGTATGGGATTTCTGTCGCTGAGTCGCAGACGTTCTTTCTTGCAAAACGTGCCCAGCGGTGAGGTGCGAGGAGAAACGGCTGTTTTCGCAGGATAGCAATAGTGCAGCCTCTCCTCCCTCCCCCCAACTAATATCTCCTCTCCCCTACCCCCTATCTTCCACTTCAGATCCTTAGAAACGCACATAAAGTGAAATCTTTTCACTCCCAGCCTCTTCTCAGACGTTTTTTCTTTAATTCCCCGCGCTGTTGCTGGTAAGGTGTTCGCGTGAAGTTGGGTTATGCGCATGCATGAGACAGTAAGAAGATGACCTCACAACGCATGTGAAGTTTTGATTGTATTTTTAAACTGGAAACCGTCGTTTAAGCAAACAGAACACAACAGCGCATGAGCAAGTGTGAGCCAAGTCCTTACCTGATCTCTGTGCAAAAAAGCCACAATTCCGACTGCACATTCGATGAAAAAGATAAGCGTTAGCAGGATCAAAAACTGCAACATAATTTAAAAACGATTAAAAGAAATGAAGCTTATAAACGTTTTAATCCCAAAGGACAGGATTACTGAAAACTATCACTGTTTGACCCTCATCAGATGGGGCCGCACATGGTGATTCCAGATCGCCTTCATTTGCTCGAATGAAAGCTTACAGGGATAAATAGATCATAATTTGTAATTGTAGACCACCTTCGAAGTGAGGCCATTTTATGCGCGAAAGGATTGATGGGATGGATCAAAGCAATGTCACGTGATATATTAATCATAGGGCAAACATTTTTCTCTACTTACTGAGGTCAGGAAGTATCTGTGCTCTTTGACAATTCCATAGCAACCACAGACTGACACAATTATGATAAGTCCTCCTGTTCCAATCATAAGTCCAACGATAATAAGGAACCAAGAACTTCCCAAAAGCACATTGTATTCACTTTCAAATAGTAGAGTCCAGGCTCCTATTATCACCAGCGCTACTCCACTTAGCTGAAAAAAAATGCTACTTTACTGCAGACCCGTTTCTCAAAGACGTAATATGGACCTTTTGCTCTAAGACTTAATTACTTGAGGTGTAATCACATTTGGCCACAGGCTCTTGGTCACTAAAGGTATCTTTTGCGCTTGCGCTGTGTTTCGCTGCGTTGCGACATTGCGACAGGCTCATAAATTCGAATTGTTTCCGAATCGTTCCCAATAGCAACTGAGTATGCAGTGAAAGCAAGATGTAGATAATTAAAAAACGCTATGCAAGTTTTAAGTGTACCTTTAGGAACCTTTGGCCAGTTCGAGGACGTCGAAGGAGACAACAAGGACGAGATTTAATTTTAATTTTTTTCGCGCGTTCTCAAAAAATGGACACCCAGGAAACATTTTTTCCATCGGAAAAGTTAGCAAGGTTATTTTTCTTGAAGGAATTTAAGCCCTCTGTCGAACGGAAAATGATAAAAGTTCTAACATTTATAAACTTGTTTCCGCCACTACACGCCATTCTCACTAAAACCCGTAATAAAATGACGATGGCTATCGCGTTTTCCCTTCAAAATGATGCTGATTCATAAGCGCTCAATACATAACTTGTATTGAGAAAATATCGCCCTAGTTCTCGACTAAGAATCTAAGGGCCAGTTGTTGAGTCAACTGAAAATTAAAGGGAACATCGATTATGTCAGAAACCCGTAATACCGCATAAATACCGTTTTGCACGCAAATGAACTATCACAATCAATAATTGTTCGCAACTGCAACAGAACAATGCTACCATACCACTCTCTTAATTATTTTCATGGGCTCGTGATTGGTGGTCCATTTATGATGAAAAGAGGATAAACACTATGTTTGAGTTTCGTATAAGTGTGTAATGACTCTTATTATTCAACAACTAGATCATAAAAAGCTAATTAAATATCCGCTTTTCGGCAATACCGCTAACAGTTCAATAACACAAAGAATGGCGGTTTCATTACAAAATTCGTCGAGTGTCTAAGTTGGGAAAATGGCACAAAAGGTCATCTAATTATCAATCGAATTAAGTGTCTCTAGTTCTCACAGATTATTTGTTTAGACTCATTATATGCGTTGCTCTCCCTAGCTAGCCTGCGTGGCCGGCGGGACTAGCAGGCAAATGCTGTAGTTTGCGGCGTAACCGCGTGTGGCATGCAAAAGGTGTCTATCTGACGGCTCTTGACTAGTGGTTTCACCACTCGCGTATAACGCGTGCCACTTCTACCCGAGGCCAAAATTACTGTTCAAGGCGGTTGTGGGTTCACATACAGGGTGAGTTTGTTGCCCCAGAAAACACTTCACAGTCGTGACAGAAAAACAATATAAGTTTTCCGGTTTCGTCTTTCCTGATTTAATTAATAAGTAAGTCACTTATTAATAACCGACAACGAACGAAAATAGCATTTGCAACAATTGATCGTGACAGGTTTCTAGTTGCGGCATGTTGTTGTTCATGTTGCACGTGAGAGCGATACTACGATCACGCAACAGCATGGCATCTGTGAGAAATAACACAGTTCTATTTTACATTTCATATGTTTTGATTTTCAAGAACACACAGAAAAATAAGATGATCAAACTCGAATTAGCTAAGCTATCTTTGATATGTTTCTATCCGATTACATTGTTTAAATATTTATGGAGAACATTCGTGATTCGAGTCATCTATCTTATTATCGTATATATGTTTTCTTTTTATGTTGATACCTTTAAAATGTCTAGAAGGAGATGAGTTACGCGTCGGCCGTTTGATGAAAAAGCGATTCATTGATGAAACAACAGAAAATAATGGAAAAATACACTTAACCTCTGGGTGCCAATGATTAACAAATATGAAAAACCGAAATATTATTAGTTGTCTTCCAAAATTGGTTAAAACTAAATAACAATTTTTTTTTTCTCAGGAGCCTACTACCCTGCTCCTGCTTGGTTATAAATCATTAGAAGAAGAACATTCGATTGATTCACATGTCACATAATAATTGGTTGTTCCGTATTATCAGGTATGAAAATATACAACATAACCAATTACTATATATTACCCACGTCAGGGTAGCTTTTTAAATTGGAATAAGATTCAAGAGATCCTTAACTAACTCTAGCATTTTTGTTAATAAAATGGGCAGTTTCTTATCGACATTCTTGAGATGGTTCCAATCAATTGTCGTAGAATGGTGCTCAAATCACGGTGAATTACGTCGTGTATGCTTATGTACATACGTGTAATTCTTACCCAATAAAAGAAGGTGAACATATGCATTGGAACTTTCAGACATCTCACACTACAACATCTTCTTGTTTTCTTCTTCTTTAGTGATACGTTTCTCCATTCAGAATAGTCTGCGGGCACCATGATGGCCTCAGAAACGAAAATAACAGTCAAAGGCGTTGGAGAGATTCCCGGGATTACATGGAACGGGTCGTGACACTGTTCAACTAACAGAATGTAACAAGACCCCCGATGGGTGATTTTCAAGACTTTGGATTCAAGCTATTTGGGAGAAAACAGACTTGATTTCTAACTAACAATACTGTAAAAAGAAATGACGTTATAATTGTCTCCATGTGAGGGATATTTACTGAAAGAAGTAAACTGAATATCACAAAGGGAACCGATTCGACTCACTTTAGAGCAGCTTTTCTTTACTTTTTTGACGAAACCCATGTAAGATAAGTTTAAGACTATCGTTGATCAAGGTGTAAATTCCCACTACCACTGAACATAGTTCATGACACACAATATACACAAGCTATAGTCATCATTTGAAGTGGTATGATACTCCACAATCCTATAAAATAAGAGAGATAACATATCTCCAAAACAGTATATGGTTTCCGGAATGTAGGCTATTGAGGCGCTGCGGCTCTCTTTGTCTGCTAACCTCGTCTATACTTTGTCTGAATAGCCAGTATCATCAGCCATACCCGCACCAAGCGTTCATATGGCCAGAAGAACAGAGAGGCTTGAACCCGTCGACATAAGGGTCTAATTTATCCGGCGTTACCGACATAACCTCAGCCTGTCCTCTTCGCATGTACAGATCAGAGAAATATTTGTTTCTCAAATTCTCGAAATATTTCAGAAGAACTGTATTGCACCCCGACAGAGCAGTTGAATTGAAGATGTTTATCAACGACGCCAACCTGTCAGGCAGGTAGGTCAAGGTTTTGATTTATGTGGTTTACAAGAAGCCTTGTTTTGGTAGCCCATACGTTCCTGCTAACGAAGACGTAATTCCGATAGTCGCTTCTCTCCACCAGAATAGAGAAGAGCGACGATCGAAAATACGTCTGAGGGGAGGGGGGCACTGATACAGGCTAGACGTTTCGCTCGTTCCCGGCTTTAGCCTGTTTCAGGCTTTCAGATCGTGGGGACAGCGCAAAGAGCCGCACTTCGCTATCCGAACGCCTGGAACAGGCTACATGTATCCCGGCTCTAGCGAGCGGCGTGCAGCGTACGGAGAAGCGGCTGTATTCGCAGGCTACGAAAACCTCAGACGGCTGTGTGCGTCCAAAAACTTACATTTCTCGTTGTATGTAATATCAATGCTTTGTAAAACAGAGTACAGAGTGGTCATTGGAATTACGGATATAATCACACAAGATGAATTTGCTTGATATTTTATCTACTTCTCCCTGCTACTCAGTGTAGGAAATGAATAGGGGCAAAACATGAGGATTCAAAAGGGTTAAACGGACTCGACTCCTCATCTACATCAGCTTTGTTGCGTTACACTTTTTTTTTCAAGAATAAGAATATCGAGGCTGAAATTTGCAAAATCTTATTATGATAAGAATAAGCCCGAGGCTGAAAAGGATATAACTTTATGTGTTGAAAATGTGTTAATAAAACACGATACAATGATGTGTTTTCAACTTAACTGTGAAATTATTTCTTTCTCTCAAAGGCAAAAGTCTGAAAAGTAGCCACCAAAAGAAAAAAACAAAGTGCCATTGCCATTAACTGTAATTTATACCCCAGTACATTCTAAAACGAAAAAGTCAGAGGCTACAATTTAAGAAAAATACGAGAATATTTTTCGCCTAAAATAGGTAGGAAAATAAGAATATTATATTCAGCCCGGACCGGAAAAATAACATTCTTATAAAAGAGAAGAGTGTATCACATAAACACCTACGGTAACTGTATAATTTACACTAATGGTCATTATCGTGGAACTGGAAACCCGCAAGATGTTCAGCACAGTGTTCATCACTCTTAGGGTTACTGCAAAGCCTATAAATGATGGTGGTTGTGATCAGTTATCAAAAATATTTCAAGATCGTGAAGCCTTTTCATTTGCGACACAAACCCGCCATTTTCCAATATAAGGTTAGAGACCTCGGATTAGAAAAGAATTCATCCAAGACCGATTAGTAACAAGAGCTTCCACTTAGAGGCTAGATGGTTGAATGATAGTAAATTCCCACCCCATCCCTCCCCTCCATTCCCTGCCCGAGGACGAGAGGTAACTTCTTTCGAATTTGTTAAATCTTAACCCAGCACATATCGTTCGCCGTGATCGTCTAGTGGTTAGGACACTGCGTTGTGGCCGCAGTAACCCAGGTTCAAATCCTGGTCACGGCACTTTTCTTTCTTTTTTGTTTTTCTTCTTCTTCTTTTATTTGTTTAGGGTTCTATTTATGACAATAGAATCAAAGGCGTTTCCATAAATGACGGTACGAAAAGGCGAAAGGCTAGCCGTTTTTACTATTTCAACTTACTGGAAACAAGACATCTTCTCAACCATAGCAGAAAAGTGCGCGCGCGATCCAGCCAAACAAGACAGATATACAGCACTAACTAGGGTATCTAAAAGATAGTACTGCTGCGACACATTCTGTTGATACTGGCATTAGTTAGGCAGTGAGACTTAAAAGAATCAAAAATGACATTGAATGTCCTATTTATATGTTGGAAAGTACTAGAATAATTACTATCAGTCTATAGAAAGAACTCGTGGGAACGTTGTTTAGAAAATGATCAAGTGGTTGTCAACTCTGGTTTTCCCACAGTAAATTGGAGGAAATAATAGAAATTCAGATTGATTATCCAGATATTTAATATACAGTGCACGATATTTTCTCTGGAAACACAATACTTTTCTTTCTGTTTGTTGCACTTTATTAAGTAACAGTTATTTAGCTATATATTTATAGAAAACAACAACACAAAAAAAGGAAAAGAAAAGAAAGCAGGAATAAATAATTCAGTAGGACTCGAACCCGGCACCTTCGACTCGACGCGACTACACCTAACCACTACACCACATGGGCTGATTACGTAATTTCCGGGAAAAGTGTTTCATTTTATTCCTTTTCTATGACACTTCCACCGGCAAGATGATCGCCAGCCGCATTAACCGAGCTATTAACAGTGAAAAAACAATGTAAACGCATATTCCATGGCAATGAATGAAAGGACATAATTATGCTTTTCAAAACGCCGATACACGTCCTGGTCTGCAAAGTAGGACACAAAACATATGTTTTGTTATCTCGATGTCCACTGTTATTTTGAAGCGAATGGTCAAAATCACATCCATTTTCGGCTCATACAGTTTCTTAAGAATAGCATTGCATGACATTTTCTCACTTTCACATCACCTTCTAGCAAGCTGGAATTTGTATATCCCCCGTGTTGCGGAGTCGAAGAGCAAATGCTCATCTTCTCGTCAGGTTTAACACCTGGACGGGTCAAAGGCTCTTGAATTGAAATCCACTCCTTAAGTTAACCATCGTACTCATCTGAAAGACTCCTGCGTGTCTTAAAATTTGGTAAGACCTCTAACCGTGCTGTAGAACTGAGCAGCGAACGATGCATTACTTCCCCGTGTTTTTATTTGAGTTGTTCGTGGCGCAATGCACTCTGGTCAAATGCAATGCATTGTGGTAAAAAGTGTGGTTAAATGCAATGCATTGTGGTAAAAAGTGATGAATTCGAGAATTCGTCGCCCCTTTATCTATTTCCTTTAAATCCTGATTATGTTGCTGCTCGCTTCCTTCGGTCGCTCCGCAGCAATTAACATGACAAAATTTATACTTTAAATCTTTTCCAACCGGCCATTAAGAGTACACAATTCACTATTTTGAGCTTAATGGGAATCTTTCTATCTCCAGTATCTATTCTCTCAGCAGATAAATGACGGGTGGTCATTTCTGAAAATAAAACCAGTGAATTTCTATCTCAATTCCATCGTCGCCGTGATCGTCTAGTGGTTAGGACACTGCGTTGTGGCCGCAGTAACCCAGGTTCAAATCCTGGTCACGGCACCTTTTTTTTTCCGTTAGCAATTTTTTTTTTTAAATTTTATTTTCCTTTTAATATGTATTTTTACTTAGGATTCCTCTTCTGACAATGAAACTATAGACTTTTCTATTAAAGGTGCGAAAAGGAAAGTACTTTTTATTTCTTATTGCTTAGTATCTGAAAACAATATCAAATGGAGGGAAAGGGTTGCTAGGCCCGAGGTGCAACATTGGTCACCATGACTACGGGGTAGGTGCGGGTACAGGTCCAGGTTTGCACGTGACGTCACGGCGGCCATGTTACTGCTGAAGCAGCAAAAACTATGTTGAAAAAAATTATGCTGAAAATATTATTAGTAAAAATGCCACTATTTTGAGCATAATGGCAAGAATAATGGGAATCTGCCTGTATCTATCTTCAGTAACCGTTTTCAAATATTTCTATGGTCTTTTCCATTTCAAAGTGCTATGTTATTGGCACAAAATTTATAAAGAAAAACCACTTTATAGTTTGACGGTGATGCGATCTCTTGGGGTTAACTCTCAGCAAATAAATGACGGGTGGTCTCTGCTGAAAATAAAAACCAGTGAATTTCCATCTCAATCCCATCGCCGCCGTGATCGTCTAGTGGTTAGGACACTGCGTTGTGGCCGCAGTAACCCAGGTTCAAATCCTGGTCACGGCACGGTGTTATTCTTTTTTTTACGTTCTGTATCGACTAAAATTGCCTTATCACAAAAAAAAGACTTTCTCTTTTGCCATAAATGAAAACATTACCAAATGGTTAGTTTCGGACTATTTTCTGAGCTCTCGTAGTCAATTTAGCATTAACTAATATTGTGAGCCCGCGCCATTTTGGATCACGCGTGACGTCATTATATTCTGTTCAATAAAATAGACCGGAAGCTCAATTAGCGGAACTCAGTTTTGGCAGTGCACAGGCGACCCAAGCTCAGTATGAGAGTTAAATGCGGTTTCATATTGCCTAACCCTTAAAATGGCAGTGGACATGAAGGATTTGTATGTGAAATCAGGGAAAAGATTCAAGAAGTTACTAACTCGCTAGAATTTTCAATAAAATACACCTTACCTTATTTACCTTACTTGGTTTTGCTTGCTCTATGGTTATTTTCCCGATCCTTTGAGATTTAAGCGATTTCCTTTAACCCCAAGTTTCCACTCTAAGAGAAAGGACAAGGCTATACATTCCAGTTTGGGATGCCCGATTCGAGAGGCAAAAAATCCTTAGCTTAAAATGTCCAATCAGCCACAAATCCAACGCCGAGTCTAAGCCAATCTGTCCTTGTTTCATTTCACCTCATATCATTAGCCAAGCAATCCGGCCTGACCGACGCCAAGCGGCAATTGGTTTTGTGAAAAGAGCCTTGTACATTCTAGCCTGTTCCAGGCTCCGAGATGGTGGTGGAAAGTCGTTCAGTAATAAGAAAGGCGAAAAACGAGCGGGGGCTGGGGAGACAGGCTATGTACATTCCCACCACGACACACGACCGTTGAAAACCCGCTTGCGTAATCCTGCCTCGTCTACAAACTAACCTCACGGGGTTACTACACAGTCACTTGTCATCGATCGAGACAATGATCTCATCGACAATTTTGTTTTGAACCTCGGCTCCCCTCGGGTCGATTCGATAAGAGATCATTGTTTCAATCGATGACAAGCGATGGTGTAGTAACCCCGTGAGACTCAGTTTGTAGACGAGGGAGGATTACCCAAGCGGGTTTTCAACGGTCGTGTCTCGTGGTTGAAATGTACAAGGCTCTTCGGCATTTTTTTGCTTGGATTTTTGAAAACAAACTTCCGCTTGGCGTCAAGAGAAACCAGCTTTCTTGAGCGTTTAAATGCCTGTTTGTAGAATGTTTGCATATTTTCACAGTTTCTTTCTTTTTTGGCTAAGAAACTTTTCGGTAAACGTTTCGTACTTCAAATAATAATTTGAGTCCAGTTTACACAAAAAGATGACTATAGTTTAGTTCTCGTTAATAATGTCTGTTAGTAGCGAAGCGCGCGCAGCGGAGCACCATTAGTAAGAAAACCTGGTTACGTACGTCCACCCCGGTTCCTGTAATAAGTTGGCCAAGGTGAAATCTTGTATTTCAAGCACCACGCGCGTTTCGGCGGTAAATCACATGGCCACCCGGACTCTTAAAGGCAAACAAAAACAACAAAGCCGATTCTTTCTTTCAACTAAATTTTAATGTCTACGTTAAAGTGGAAACTTGAGAAAGAGCCAGAGCGAGGAATAAAAAAGCAACGGGGTCCAATTTCTTTGGAAGAAAAACGTGAAAATTTTTTAGCGGCGGTGAGAAAATGAGGAACGCTAGCGGCCACTAAGGTGAAAATGAAAAACGTGAATAGGAACACATACACACAACATCCATAAAACTTTTAACTAGGAAGTTTCACGTTGTTGTCGTGCAAACAACGGCAAAGAAATGTACGAGCAATTTTTTTTTTTTGCCAGTGAGACCTATTCTTGTTGTTTTTTTACCGTTGTCGTCGTCTTCACCGAATCTTCAGCATTACACGATTTCATATTTTGTTTTAGTGGACTACAAATACAGAAGAGAGCTTCGCTTTATTGAACCCTGGATAAATCTATATATTATTATTACAATGTACACCTGTAACCACCTGAAGTGCTGAAACGAAAATGAATGTAAAGTAATTTAGGTCAACAGATTAAACTTTCTTCCGCTGATGGCATATTGGCAGTTAAGCCCAGCAGGGAATTTGCTCATATTTTCTAAACATTATCAAGGACTTCGAACAAGCCAATTTCTAATTACTGTGTTTTTAATTTCCTGGTAATGAAAAATTGCAACGCGAGTTTGTTAAGTATCACCCAAAAACGTAGACCAAGACAGCGTTTCGATGACATTTTATTCTATGATCGAGTTTTAATACGTCAAATATCAAATCAAATAAGGGGAAACTACTAAAATCGAAATGGCAAGCGCGTATACAGTTAAGAAGTTCGCTATGTAATTATTGATTTCCAAAAATGTTTTCACAATAATGCATTATAGTAATAATAAAAAGGAAAGTTGAATGCATTGAATAGGTTCATGTAGATCTCAGTTGATTTTCGAAGTTGACAGTTATTTTCATTAGTTTGTATTGCTTCCAGCGTGTTTGATTAAGCTAGCCCTGAGTTAATGGAGTTTGCATTGCAAAACAACAGCTGCTCGGACGAGTGAAAAATTTCAGTACTGAGAAAAAGGACTGATCAGCAGCTGAACCTGTGGCCAAACTTGTTTGTGGGAAGATGCCTCAACAAGTGTATCCAGAACGCGAGCTAGAGGAAAGCCGAAAAGACAGGAGCGAGCTTAATTTAAGCAATAACAGAGACCAGCAGACGAGAAACGAACTTTCCGAACAACTATCGCAAACCTTCGGTCCAACTTTGTTCGTAATGAAGCTAGCCGGAGATTTCTTTGGCGAAACAACTTTGACCGAGCCGCGAGACTTGAATTCGAACTGGGGAAACTCGGCTTACTGCATTTCGCGTTTCTACAGCTCGTTTGTTGTTTTAGCCGAGTGGTTGCTGGTTGTTTTGGGGCTGATAACTCTTTTTTATCAAGGTTTGACGTCCATGAATGTTTTCCTATTCTTGTTAATCGCAATTACTTATTATATTCAGTGTGCTTCCAACGCCACTATTTGTTCCGTGGTACTGCCACTCGTGAAAAGAAAAAATACCCGATTTTCCCAGTTTATCTCTGGCGCCATGATGACCGCAACTGACCTCGATGGAGTGAAACGCAAAACTCTGCAAGGTTTAGTGATTGCATGTTTTGTTGCTGTGATGAATCTTGTTTGTATCACCCTCTTTTCACTCTATAATGGCGGAATAATCTCTAAATACAAACCGTGGAATGGTCACTCAGCAGTGAGAGTAATCGAGCTCGCACCCGCAATATACGGTTCCTTTTCCTGGAGTCTACCAGTGCAGCTGTACTGCGCAACGTGCTTGGTTCTGGAAAGAATGTTTGAAACGTTAAAAAAGAAAGTTGAATCCAGTCTCGGTACAGAACGCCCTTTGACCATTGCCTTTGTGCGCCAAGAGCATATGCGACTGTGCAAGCTTCTTGAGATGGCTGATAGGGTGTTTTCACCTATCTTGTTTGTAACTGTCATTCTGTACATACCTCTGATCTGCGCCAATTTATACCAGCTCATCCAGTCAACCAAAAATTGGTCGAGCGTAGCGGGAAGGGTTTCGTTTATCGCTTACCTTTGTTGGAGTATATCTCTAGCATCTATACTGGGAGTGCTGTGCCTATTTGGAAGTCGAGTAAACGAGAAGGTATGATATATAATAGTGAGAGAGGCGAATCCAGGATTTTTGCATGAAGTGGGGGTGCATCACTAAGGACCTACCATTTCTATGGCGTTTAACATAAATTCTTCAGTCTCGTCTCATGTTTCACTTCAACACCAATAAACTACAAAGCTTTTTTTTTGGCAGAATACCAGTTGTATTAGAAAGCCGCAGGTCATCTCAGGGGTGGGGGTGGGGTGCTCACCCCCTGCACCCTCCCCCTAAATCCGCCCCCTGAAGAGCTGCATGTTGAAATGCATTTGTTTGAGTTGTGGTTGTTAATTTAGTGTTGAAAACAGCGAAGTATTTGCTACAATAATACATACAATCGCGTAACAATTTTACAGCAAATTGGAATAACTGTACCAAAACCAAAAGCTAATCGTGCTTGCATGCCTTGGTACCTATTTTAGTCATTTAATAAATATTTCATATTAATTCAAACTACTCGAGTCAATAAGAGAAAGTTAAGAATTTGCTTTTAATCAAACTATATATTCTTATTTTAGGCTCACAGTTTTTATGAAACATTACAAATGTGCCAAGTTTCTGCAAAGGACGTCGAAGACAACTCAGAGGTGAGTACATATATCTTTTCTGCAGAATTTTTTATGGACGTTTTTAACATAAGTTTCCAGGGTGCTAAAGTTTACTCTCTCTCAAACGTTTTAAGGAAAAGGTTAAGTCAATTCTTATTGATAAATATGAATTGCAGATTTATCAACACTATATTTTTTCTGGCTTTCCGTTGTTTAATGCTGGCATACCTAGCTTTCTTTTGCTGTCTTTCTTCCACTGACAAGGAATCCGGAATCCATTACTTTGAATCCGGATTAAACAGTGTGGAATCCAAAAAAAAATCATAGCTGCAGTGAATGCTCGGTTCTCATTTCTTTTCTTGTCATTTTATTACTTTTGGTAGAAATCGCAAAAAATCATAATGTCAGTTCCTAATGATAAATGGCTGATAACATTTGGACTCGAACTGTAGGTGCTTTAGCTTTTCGTACCTTATTCTTTAAGCAGTAATTGATGCTAATGAGTACGTTTAATCCGAGCACTGCGGTTTAATCCGGCCTTAACTAACAGTTATCCTGCTTCAGCCAAGATATGCAATTCCACAAACATTTTAAAAAAATGTTTCATACTTTGCAGTGAAACCTCTGGCCTGAGGCTTGTGGACCCACTTGAGCTTTGAATATGTTGACGTTATTTCTGTGGTAGATAGGAGTACAAACCATGCCTGAAAATTGCTGTCGATTTGTTAATTGGAGTGTGCACAGAGTTTCAAAAGAGAGACTAATGTCATGCATGCATAACTAACATTAACAAAATAAGCGATCTTTTAATAACTTTTTCTTTGTCCACAGTTGATGCTGTTCCTTGCGCATGTGCAGGGCGATGGTATTGGTTTTTCCGCAGGTGGAATGGCGGTGATCAATAAATCTTTCTTTCTCACGGTATGACACCAAATAACTCTTATCTATCTGGGAAGTCTGCTGTGGGAATTTAATGCTTTCAAAACGCGACTCAAGTTTAGTTAGTCTGGTGAAGCATGCAAAGGGTTATTCAGGGTGAGTTGCTTGGGAAGTTTCAAAATACACTATCAAAATTACAGCTGATACCCCAAGACAAATTAAGAGCATTAGCTAAGATACCATGTGCCCGTCCTTAATGAGATGTAGTTCCTCATTTTGTTACCATCAACGATATGTAAAGTGTAAAGGAAACTCCTCCGTCCAAGAAGTCTAAGAAAACAACCAGGTGACGAGTAAAGTGACTGAGCTCAAGAAGTCCATATAACAAAAATAACCTTAACATTAATATACAACATTAAATTTACTTCAGAAATAATTTACATGCAGTACACTAAACTCACACAAAAGTGCAAAAATAGAGGAAGGAAGAAAGACTGAAGAAAGGGGAAAATGAAGTAAAAGGAAGAAAAAGGGAAAAATGCTCGATATGATTTGAATTTTAGCGGCAGTGTCAATTGCCACACATGATTTGAAACTATCATTCCTCCAGTGAGCCAGGTCTAAGCGTATTTGTGACTGACTGGGTTTCCATACTAGCCTCACGAACTAATAACCTTTAACTTTTACTTTGTTTCAGCTTGTTGGAATTATCGCGTCGTATTTTGCCGTGCTTCTTACCTTACCATCCTGAGGGAAGCGGAAACTACAGAGGCTTCATCAGTTAAAAGGGGTCAAAAAACATTGCTAGGCTTCATCGTAAAGCCATTCATCATATTGCTTCATTTTTGCATTATAAAGGAGGCTGAAATCTTAAACAGGAGCACACTCTGATACCGGACGGTTTGACATAGTATTATACTTTTCATAAGTAGGTTTAGTATGATGCATGTTTTCCTGGATGAACGTTAAGTCCTGAATAGGACTGTTGTTGACAGTGACTTTGATATGACGTTTTGACAACCTGTGAGGTAGTCACCTTCAGAGTCAAAGTGAGTTGTATCATGTCAGTTGATGGTATTTTAACTCTGGTTATTCGGACCTGATTATTAAATTAAGTCGTAATGTTATTGCATGGTCGTCTTTCAGTTAAATCGTTATGTCATTGGTACGTTTCGATCCGATTGTCACATTTAAAAATTGTCAGTTGTCCAGTCGTTCTCTCGTAGTTAAGTTTGCTTGATTTCGTAAATAAGTCGTTTGTACGGTGCCGCGGCCGGTAACAACCAAAGTTTGCAGAAATCGCGAACGATATAAGTTAGTAAACCAGCTTTCTAAAGTGAGTCGTTGATAGTTGTCTGAAGAATACGTAAATACAACTACTGTTTAACTGTGACAATAGACGGACCGAAACGCACCAATGACATATTACCAGTCTTCATTGCCAATAACATAATGGCTTAACTGGCAGACGACCTATATAACAGGAAATCAGTGGTGGCGTCGTCTCGAAATTTCGGCTGTTTTCTCAGATTACATTTTGGATTAGCTAGGCGGATTAGCTAGGCGGTCCTTCTTCCCTTTCGCGCTCGGGGTGAGCGAAGAAGCCGCGAAGAACTGGGCGGAAACCAAAGCGAATTAAATCGCGGTCGTTCTTTTTTCCTTTCTCCACCCCAACCTCTCCTACTTTGTACAGTTAATTTGCAAAATTTTGCTGCTCTCGGTCTAACAGCATTTTTCTTTTTGACGTTCTTATTAACTGGAAAAAGAAAAGAAAAGAAAAGAAAAGAAAAGTAAAAACAAACAAATACACAAGCAGAAAAAGCAAGAAGGAGAAGAAGAAAGAAAGAAAATTCTCGATAACATTTGAACAGAAAATCCTTAACGGTAATTTTTTTCCCTTTATCAAATAGAAATATGGAAATAAATCGTCATGAAAATCAAAAGGGAGTGCTTGTGGGGGTAGGGGTGGGGGTTGAGAAATACAAAAGGACGCTAGTGTCGTGACCAGGATTTGAACCTGGGTTACTGCGGCCACAACGCAGTGTCCTAACCACTAGACGATCACGGCGAGGATGGAAATGTGTAGAAATTCATTGGTTTTAAATTTTCATTTGAGAGTACTCCCGAAGTGCACCGCAGTCAAACTGCGATGCACTTAGAAAAGGAAACGCCCATACTATATATGAATGGATACTGAAGATAGAGAGATTACCATTAAGCTTAAAATAGCGGACCTTTTACTAACTAATGGCCCATTGGGCGAGAACTTTAGGTATAATTTTTGTTACGTTAGTACTGTATATTTGGCTTGTTTGTCCAGTAAGTTGAAATAAAAAGTACTCCGGGACAGAGCAGTTTTTGCGCCTTGAATTACGGAAACGTCTTTGATTCTAATTGTCAAAAATAGAAACCAAAGTAAACAAATAATAATAATAAAATAATTATGAGAAAAATAGAATAAAGAATAAAAACGGAAAAAAAGGTGCTGTGACCAGGATTTGAACCTGGCTTACTGCGGCCACAACGCAGTGTCCTAACCACTAGACGATCACGGCCAACTACAGGTACAGGGTTGAAATAATTAAAGACCTATTACCATTTACCTCCTGAGATAAGGGAAAGGATCACTTGAAAAAAAAACAATCCAAAGTACTTTTTTATTCAAATGATAAGACGAATACGCTTTTATGGTCTAGCATGATACTCTTATTCGAGTCAAGCAGTGTTTTTCTGTTAGCACAGATTCTTTGAAATTCAAATGTTTACCGTAAAATCCCGAAATTAATGGATCCCCGAAAAAATTAACGTTAACTAGCACTTTTTACCTTCCTGTTGAATCACAGGTAGCCCAAGCTCCAAATATGAGCATCGGCGAGCATCTGTCTATCAAAGGTTTAGAGAGAAAACCGTTTACTTAAAAACCCATAAAACGGCCATAAATCGGCCCGTGGACTACACAGGAGAGACGTAACACACATTTTAAGTAAGGTAAGCTGTTTTTTATTGAAATCCTTTCATTTTCGCAGGTTACAGAAACGATAGGTTATTTTTCCCATACAAATCCTTATATTTTGAATGTTACGCAACAATGCCGATGCTCGCCGATGCTCATATTTCGAGCTTGGGCTACCTGTGGTTGAATCCCGAAAGTGCAACGGCCCCACCGAAAGTAACGGCAAACTCGAAATTAGCCACCCTTCGCCGAAACTTACCTTCGATCTACGTAAAAAGCGATTTTAATGAGTGTTTAGCGTAACATATGTCGTAACAGGAACGAGAAAAAAATGTCTCAGTTTTTTGTAATTTTTAGGTACCCGATGCGTGATAACAGATCAATTTAACAAGAACGGGCGAAAATCTTTGAACTCTGGTATCGTACTGTACTGTCTCAACTAAACAACTGGACTTGCCATAAGTCGACCGCGAGAGAGCGCTGAAGGCGCGACGAAGTCTACTACTAAACAACGTGAAGAGTCATTAGACTATCTCTTGCTCCAATTAACTAGTTTTTTAAATAAGCCGGTTAAATCTAAACGTGTCATCCAGTATTCTGTCTTTAGAACAAGTAATATTTTTTGTTGCATGGCAGAAGGAGTTTCGAAGTCTTACGAATCTTCTTGAACCCACTGGGATTTTTCACATTATTCATTTTCCGTATGAAGTCCGCCGTCCAACACCCTAACGTTTCCGTTCCACACTTCTCTCACGTGGTGTTAAAAGCGTGAATTGATTGGTCGATAGATGATTTGGCGGCACGCACGCCCACCCACTTCCGATGTTTATATCCTTGAGCATTGATCGATTGTTCTTTCTCGAAATTGCCGATCGTGATCTTCTGTTCTTCGTGTGGTATTTCTGTTCTGCTTTTAACGGAAACGATGAAGGCCAGAGATGAAGGATTCTGCAATATTGTTTGCATGAAGACACTGTTTTTCGTGTTTAATTTCATCTTTTGGGTGAGTGAAAGCCTCGCGAAAAGCTTCCAGACGAATCCCAACTTTTGTTTTGAGAGAACGGTGAAAGTTTTATTTAAGAGGGCAGGATAAATACCTATTTTCACTTCATTTTCGTGGTTTCATCGTGTGCCAAGTCAGATTATTAATTTCAAAGTTACGGTGATCTCTTTCTGTCATAATTTTGAACGATGCTAAAGGCTAGCTTGAACTGTTGTGGTCGCACAACATCATGTTCGTAATATTTTCAGCAGTTTATCAGCTGTCGCCTTTCGACTTTAGAGTTTAATATATTCATTTCATTTAAAGCTTTGCCAACTTTCTATGATTTCTTTATTTCTTTGCTTTATGCCCTTAAAGCGAAACATTGAAGCACGTTTAGTTTTAGAGCGATTACAGTGTAGCTTTAACCATAGAATTAATGACGAGTTCTGTCAAAGTTATGGAATTTTAATGAGCTTACAGTGTAGTACAATGCACGTTTAAATAATCTTCGTCATACTTTCACAAAGATAAATAGTTTCCTGTTGGTAGGGCCTTTTCAGCTCAAGTAGGTATTATTATTTAAAAGATTTTTTGCGAAAATTATCGAGAATATTCTACCATTAGTATGATTTTAAAGCTTTTACAGGATACCTTGATGTGCTCTTAGCTTTACAGTTAGCTTTCATATTGTTTTCCCACTGGGTCAACCAAACCTCTGAACATTTATCTAATGGCTTAATTAATTTCTTTGAGTCCCTGTTCAAACACTGATATTTTGTTTTGGCAAGATTTTGAGAAAAGTACAGTATGTGCATAGGGCTTCTAAGGCCCTGTTTATGAGGACCCTGGCACTAGGAGGGTTACCCTAGCACTGGCATATTTCTTCTTTTCTCACACGACATGTTTACAAGGCAGGTAGGGTTACCCTAGTGCTAGGGTAAGTCTACCTGAGTGCTAGGGTTCAGGGGCGGATCCAGGATTTTTTTTAGGAGGGGGTGCACTCGTCTCTTGCTCTACTTCAACACCAATAAACCACATAGTTTTTTCTTTTTTTGCAGAATGAATACCAGTTGTATTAGAAAACCGCAGGTCATCTCAGGGGGGGGAGAGGGGGTGCACACCCCCTGCACCCTCCCCCTAGATCTGCCCCTGGGGTTACTCTTAGCAAGAGGGTTACCTTACCTGCCTTGTAAACACTCAGCTAGGGATAACTCACCTACCCAGGTCAACTTTCCACCGTCATGTGCGACCAGTAATCGTGCCAATTTGAACAGTATTATCCAATTTCTAAGCTTAATAATAAACTTGAGGATAAGTTCAAGTATACATAGACAAGTACGCAGCCAGTTATAACTCATAACCCAAGGGGACCAAAGAAAATTAATTCCTATAACATTCCTTCAGCTTGCAGGTGTCGGAATTTTGGGTGTTGGAATATGGATAATGGTCTTCAAAAGTGATTACAAAAGTTTGCTGGACAGCGATATCTATGTGATTGTGCCAGGTCTAATGATTGCAGCTGGCGTGGTGGTCATCATCGTTGCAATAGTGGGATGTTTAGGAGCTGTTAAGGAGAACAGGTTTTTCTTGATCTCTGTGAGTACATGCATCTCTGTCACTAAAAAGATAGACCTTATTCACAACACCCACCATCTTTGCACATGCTTTAGGATCAATGGGGTACACCTGTAAAAGCATCAGTTTCCAAGATAAATGTGTTCAACAGAAAGTATAAAAATAATGCAAGATTTGTTGATTGTGCCTTGGTGTCCACATAATGAATACCGAAACTGTAATTCTTGATTAAAATAATGTGGGGTTTCAATAGATACAAAATATATAGAAGAGAAATTTTTGTAAAAAGTGCTTTTGGGCCTCTGTTATGGTATAGCATGATAATTGAGTATTTTAAGGGCAATTTCCATAATTGTCAAGAACCCTTGCTTGTTGATATAACACTGTGCACAAAACAAATGCCAGGTTCACATGCAAGGCCAAGTTGGAAATAAGTATTGTGGGTAATTGGCTATTATAACACATAGGACAACCCATAGGCAGGAATGGTACACTGTATCTATGGATTGTCAGCACTCAACCGTGTGAAATCTGTGCTGGGAGGTTTACTGTGAAAGGGTATTAACTTCATTAAGAATTATTGTATTGCAGTTATAGTGGTAGTGTAACTTACATGAAAATCTAAATTTTTTTATTTTTTTTTGTTGTTTGTAAATTTCCATTTCTTTCAGTTTTTGGTGATGGTGATCCTGGTCTTTATTCTGGAGTTGACAATTGGAATTTTGGCTTTCGTATATTCTAATAAGGTACATTATGTATTCTGCTTTACCAACATTTTGCCTGGTGTAAGGGAATTCAAGACAGTCTTGGATTCTGGATTTCAGGCACTGGATTCCGGTCTCTTGTCATTGGATTCTGGATTCCAATCATTAGTAGGATCCCAGATTCCTTGAGCTACCACAAGTAAAATATTCCCAGATAATTTCAGATTTCACGAACCAAAATTTCTGGGTTTTTGGATTCCGGATTCCCTTGCATTGGGTAAAACATTCACCCACCCTTGTAAAAATTTATTAGCGATCGCGCCGCGATCGCGTCGTCAATCGCTTAGCGTTTTTGCCGGCGGCGCGATTCGCGGCGATGGGAGCGATGATCGCTGTCATCAATCGCGATCGCTGAGCGATCGCTGTCGTCGTCATCAATCGCTCGCTGTCAGCGTTTTTGGCCGGATTTCGCGGCGCGATGAGAGCGATCGCGGAGCGATCGCTGTCGTCGATCGCTTAGCGTTTTTGGCCGGATTTCGCGGCGCGCGATCGCTGAGCGATCGCTGTCATCAATCGCTTAGCGTTTTTGGGATTTCGCGGCGCGATGAGAGCGATCGCTGAGCGATCGCTGTCATCAATCGCTTAGCGTTTTTGGCCGATTTCGCGGCGCGATGAGAGCGATCGCGCCGCGATCGCTGTCGTTAATCGCTTAGCGTTTTGGCCGAATTTCGCAGCGAGATGGCAGTGATCGCTCAGCGATCGCTGTTGTCGATCGCTTAGCGTTTTTAGCCGAAGTTCGCGGCGCGATTGGAGCGATCGCGCCGCAATCGCTGTCATTGATCGCAGATGGTTTTCGGTCGAATTTCTCGTTGCGATCACGGTCCGGACGAAAAAGACATAAATGAGTATTTCTTATCTCAGAAGAAGAGCAGTGAGCTGAAATTTGTCCTGAAAGTTGCAATAACATTTTACTAACTTGTGACAAACGGAGAGCTTCTGAGCTTTGCCGAAAATCGTGCATCATAGAAAATGACCGCTCCGTTTGAAAGCCCCTGGTCCGGCCAGTGGTTCCGGCCACTTTGGCTACTTTAATTGGAAGCCGACATCAAAAGTGCGTAAAAAGAAACCTTCCAAGCACCATCTGATCTAAATTCCTGTATAATTTTTATAGGCTGCTCACTTAAAATTCGAAACCAAACTGAGATTTCTGTGTAAAGAGCTAACGTTTGGTCTCTCGAAGAAACTAAACCGTGAAAAGGTCAATTCGCCACCATTTTAAATGAATTCAGTCAAAGTTTAGAGCGAAAAAATATTTGTCGTCGCTTGTTTACGTCCTCAAGAAACACCTCCCATCCCATGCCGCGACCGAAAAGCGTGCGTCATGCATGTGCAGGACGTGCAGAGTAATATTTTCCTTGTTAGGTCCATTACTTGCCAAGTTTTTTGACTTTGCTAAATGCTACAGCTCCCAAATGAAATAGAAGTTTCATTTTATGGCCTTCTATATCACTGCTTAATAAATAAAGTGCAGTGTTACTGGGAAATTTTCAAACAGGCTTTCCCTTTTCAATCACTATTTGGCTAGTTTGGCCGGACCAAGGACATAGTACGCAAAATTTTTTTTGGAATATTATCTAAACTTTGGTTTTAAAATGGGCCAAAATTTCTGGGTTTTTGGATTCCGAATTCCCTTGCATTGGGTAAAACATTCACCCAGACATGATTAAGATTGAGATTTTTGCTAATTAAAGATGTAAAAGAATATGTAATTGTTCAATCTAGTACATGTATGATTGGCATTACTCATTTACAAAATGTATTAATTTTGCCTCACAGTAGTCACTTCAACAACATTACTGATCTCAATGTTTCTAAATGTATATAGTGGTGTCAGTTGGCAGGACTAGTAGCAATACACTCTCACTTAGGTTTTTAATTAGTGATCAGTGTATTTTAAACCTTTCTTACGTTTTACACTGTAGTATGAATCTCCTACATATGTACGTGTAAAATGTCTACTACAGTGTTGTTTATTACAATTTTTAAAGTTAAAAAACTTTGTGATGCAAGACCCTTTGGCAAAGGTTAAACTTAGCATGTGATCAATTGACACAATGGACATTTTAAAAGTTTCTGCTGTTAATTAATCTTTTAAAATGTACTTGCATGGCTGCCACAGTTCAGGAAACACTGAAGAAAAAAAATTTTTCAAGGTGAGGGAAAAGTCAGGGAATTTCACTTTGAGTCAGGGAAAATTAATTAGTCTTTGAAATAAGTCAGGAAAAAGTGAAATTAATCTTTAAGAGTACATATTTATTCTTTTCCCTCTGCTTTCATTGTTTTCTAACATTTAACAATTCTTTTGACAGTACATTTTTATTTTTATGCACATGAATCTTGTTTTATTCAATTTGGTAGAATATTTTTCATGAAATTGAACAAGAAGCTGATGATGGGTGTTCCTTCTTGCATGTCATGTTAATGAATGATCAATTTATGTCTGACACTGCACATGATTTGCTGAAAGCATAAATAAATAGGTCAAAAGGATGCTATGAGGGGAGGATTGAGTCCATTATTAGGACTAATTTGTGAAATATTGTTAATTCAGTTGGTCAGGGAAAAGTCAGAAAATTTCAGAAACCTCTGTCTGTGGCAACCATGACTTGGTACAAATATTTGCTAGGTTGTAGAGGGTAACTGGTATGTTACAATCATGTACAGTTTGTATACTCACTATCTTTCATGTACATGTACATGTACAGTGAACATCCATGTACTTGGAATAAATCATCAAAACCCTTCATCTCATCTTCCATTATTGTTACATGTATTATTTCCATTGAGTGTGAAAAAGGTATAATATTGTGTTACGTTTTATTTCACTTAATGTGATCACAATAATTTATTTTAGGGGCAGACCATTATTGTTTTGATGAGGTGGGGGGTGGGTTGGAAAATTTTGAAATAATTTGTATGCAGAGGCTGTAAACACTGAAATAAAATTAATTGTATGCAGGTAAAAAACAGTTTTTGCGGGAAGACAGAGACCAAAAAAAATGTTTGCATTTGAAAATTTTCCAACTCCCCCCCCCATCCGTAAAAACAATGATGGTGATAAACCTATCATGAGTACATGTAATAAAATTTTGTTCGTGTTCCCTTTCCATTAGATAAAAGATGAGATAAGGATAACGATTAAGGACAAAATGAATCAATATGGTGTGAATGATGATGTGA